TTCTTTTAATTCTCAATGATGGGCTGTTTTTTGTTTTAAAACACTGTAGACCAGCCAAGTGTGGTGGCTCAAACTGGTAATCCCAGCACTTTGGGAGGCCGAGGTGGGCAGATCACTTGAACCCAGAAATTCAAGACCAGCCTGGGCAATGTGGCAAAACCATGTCTCTACCAAAAATAAAAAAAATTAGCCAGGCATGGCTCCATGCACCTGTATTCCCTGCTACTTGGAGGCTGAGGTGGGAGGATCACCTGAGCCCAGAGAGGTCGAGGCTACAGTGAACCATGATCATGCCATCACACTCCAGCCTGGGTGACAGAGTAAGACTCTGTCTCAAAAAAAAAAAAAAAAAAAAAACAAAAAGGCTGGGCATGGTGGCTCACACCTGTAATCCCAGCACTTTGGCAGGCCATCGTGGGCAGATCACCTGAGGTCAGGAGTTCAAGACCAGCCCGGCCAACATGTTGTCTCTACTAAAAATACAAAAATTAGCTGTGTGTGGTGGCGCACGCCTGTAATCCCAGCTACTCGGGAGGCTGAGGCATGAGAATTGCTTGAACGCGGGAGGTGGAGCTTGCAGTGAGCTGAGATCGTGCCATTGCACTCCAGCCTGGGCGACAGAGCAAGACTGCGTCTCAAAAAAACAAACAAAAACCAAAACCACTGTAGACCAAGCAAACTCAACTCTTCCTCCTCCCATCCAGTGCTCCTCTGTCCGTTTCCCCACATCACCTGTGTGATGGGGAGTGGGGGGTCACACAGTGGGGCTGAGGACTCATGGAATGACCCTTGGGAAGCCAGAATTGGGCACGGGTACACATTTCCAAGCAGGAGATTCACTGATCTGCCCACCCTGGGTCCCCAACTACACTGGGAATCTCCTCCATGAATGGGAGGAGCCTCTGTCTCACACACACACACACACACACACACACACACACACACACAGAGACAGAGAGAGAGAGAGAGAGAGAGAGAGAGAGACCACAGCGAACATAGGCACCGTGGGCAACTGTTTGGAAATTTCTGAGCTGCTTCTTGGAAAAAGAGAGCACTCTCATCTTCCTTGTCCTTCTCCAAAATCAGCAGAAATCAAGTTTCTCACCTTCCCAGCTCAGCCAAGATATTTCAGTTCCAGTGACGACAGAGCTGGTATGGGGCAGACGGTTACCATGGGAAGGTGTGGGTCACAGGCTGAGCTCTTAGAGCTGGGAAAGTCCCTAGGCCAAGTCAGAATCCCAGTTGTCCTCCCTGAGTACCTGCTGTGTGCAGGATGCCATGCCAAACATTTTATGAATTAGTTCATCCCATTCCTGCGATACCTCAGCAGGGGAGTTATCAGTATCCCCATTTAATGGATGAAGAAATGGAGGCCCTGCAAAGTTAAGCCACAGGCCAGCTTCCTCATGGATGGATCAAGCATCTGAAGCCAAGAGAGTGGAGATGGCCTGTCCAGACTGGGGACCAGCTGAAGGCAAGGTTTGTCCTGCTGGGCCAGGCCGGGTTGCCCCTCTCAGAGGGCACTGGGGAGTTTGCCCTGGACACAGGCTGGGGGCAAAGGCTCATATGGACATGTCGGGTTAGCTGCCAGATCCTGGGCTCTAGGCCTCCCCAACATCTTCCCAATGCACCCAGGTGACTCCTGGAGTCCAGAAAGTCCAAACTGTAGAAGGTCACCCCAACCGCCCTGAGTCTTCACACTCTGTACTTGCTGACATGTGGGGCTGCAATGGCTTATTCCACTGGGCGTGTGGGCATGGGAATGGACACATGTGCTCTGACTCCTGGCCCAACTGTCCAGTCACAGGCGACAGCACCTGGGCCTGTGGGAAGTTCAGAGCTCCAGACCTGCCTTCCCCGCTGATGCCCTGTGTGACCTGGGCCTGGTCTCACTCCCTCCCTGAGTCCCAGTTGCTCTTCTCTTCTGTGGAATCCTAACCCTGTGATTCCTGAAGGGGAGGGACGATAAAAACACATTTCTTTCCTTTTTCTTTTTAAGAGATAAGATCTGGTGGCCAGGCCCCGTGGCTCATGCCTGTAATTCCAGCACTTGGGGAGGCCGAAGCCGGTGGGTTACCTGAGGTCAGGAGTTTTGAGACCAGTCTGACCAACATGGTGAAACTGTGTCTCTACTAAAAATACAAAAATTAGCCAGGTGTGGTGGCAGGCGCCTGTAGTCCCAGCTACTTGAGAGATTGAGACAGGAGAATTGCTAGAACCCGGGAGGCGGAGGTTGCAGTGAGCCGAGATCATGCCACTGTACTCCAGCCTAGGTGACAAAGCGAGACTCTGTCTCAAAAAAAAAAAAAAAAAAGAGGATCTGGCTATGTTGCACAGGCTGGAGTACAGTGGCTATTCACAGCACCATCCTACTATTGATCAGTACAAGAGTTTTGACCTACTCTGTTTCCTACCTGAGCCAGTTTACCCCTCCTTAGAAAACCTAGTAGTCCCCATTCCTGGGAGGTCACCATATTGATGCTGAAGTTAGTGTGGACCAGCATAGTGCATTATAGCCCAGAACCCCTGACTCCTGGGCTCAAGCCATCCTCCCACCTCAGCCTCCTGAGTAGCTGACTACAGGTGCATGACACCCCACCCTTTCACCTCTTGTGCTAATTCTTCTTGTTTTTTTTTTGAGGTGGAGTCTCACTCTGTCGCCCAGGTGGGAGGGGAGTGCAGTGGTGCAATCTCAGCTCACTGCTACCCCTGACTCCTGGGTTCAAGGGATTCTCCTGCCTCAGCCTCCCGAGTAGCTGAGATCACAGGCCTGTGCCACCATGCCCAGCTGTTTTTTGTATTTTCAGTAGAGATGAGGTTTCACCATGTTGACCAGGCTGGTCTCGAACTCCCGACCTCAAGTGATCTGCCTGCCTCAGCCTCCCAAAGTGCTGGGATTCCAGGCATGAGCCATGGCACCCGGCCTCATGCTAATTCTGATAGATTGGCAGTGACTATTTGGATCACTGTGGGGAGAAGGGCTCCGCAGCTGTGTGGTGAGTAGATTGGCAATGTTAGTGTCTGCCATGGGGTAGGAGGCAGCAGTGGTGGCTTCTGTGCTGTGTTTGCCATAAATGTAAACCCCCAAATGTCCTGTCCACGTGGACCCTGAGGGAGTTCCCCTTCATAGGACATAGGTGATATGTCCTAGTAACCCATTTCTATGAAGACTGAGCCCTTGGAAATGCTGTGGCTGTTGAGGGGTTTTACATTGGTTCTGCTTCTCATAGCCACTTCCTGTCCCAGATACCTGGCCCCAGTGTCTGTTCTGGGGTTTATCCGTGAGGTCACATCTGTTATCTTGAGGCCTTTGATCCTGAGGACTCCTATCACATAGAACAGTGGTCTCAGGCTGCCTCCTTTCCTGGCAGTGCTCCTGCTTCTAAATGCCCCCATTACCAAAACTCACACCCACTCCTGACCCAGTCAGGGGTGACATGCAAATTCAGACCTGGTTTATGTGGCTGTAATGTTGAATCAACTGACTTTCCAAACAGTGCATTTTTTTTTTTTTTTTTTTTTTTTTTTTTTTTTTTCATGGGAGACAGTCTGGCCTCTATCTCCCAGGCTGCAGGAGTGCAGTGGCGCAATCTCGGCTCACTGCAAGCTCACCCAGCCACGGGTTCATAGCCATTCTCACCCTACCTCAGCCTCCCAGTAGCTGGGACTACAGGCGCCGCCACTGCGCCACAGCTGAGAATTTTTTTGGTAGGGCGGGAGTTTTCACCATGAGGTCACCGATCTCCTGACCTTGTGATCCGCCACGCCTCGGCCTCCCAAAGTCTTCAGGATTACAGGCGTGAGCCACGCGCCCGGCCAGCTGCAGTGCATCTTAAAAGCATGAACTGCTGGGTTGAGTGTAGTGGCTGCGTATCTTTGAGAAAGGCTTTAGTGAAGCAAATTGCTGAGCCCAGGAATTTGAGACCCAGCCTGAGCAACTTGTCAAGACCCCATCTCTATTTTTTTTTAAAATAAAGAAACAATTAATTAAAAATTAAAATTAAAAAAAAAAACTGAAGGCCGGGCGCATTTAACCGGGCTTTTGTAATCTAACATTTTTTTTTTTTTTTTTTTTTTTTTTTGAGACGGAGTCTGGCTCTGTCGCCCAGGCTGGAGTGCAGTGGCGCAATCTCGGCTCACTGCAAGCTCCGCCTTCCGGGTTCACGCCATTCTCCTACCTCAGCCTCCCGAGTAGCTGGGACTACAGGCGCCCGCCACTGCGCCCGGCTAATTTTTTTCTGTTTTTAGTAGAGACGGGGTTTCACCATGGTCTCGATCTCCTGACCTTGTGATCCGCCCGCCTCGGCCTCCCAAAGTGCTGGGATTACAGGCGTGAGCCACCGCGCCCGGCCAAACAGTGCATCTTAAAAGCAGACACTGGGTTGGGTGTGGTGGCTCACGCCTGTAATCCCAGCACTTTGGGAGGCTGAGGTGGGCAAATTGCTTGAGCCCAGGAATTTGAGACCAGCCTGAGCAACTTATCAAGACCCCATCTCTATTTTTTAAAATAAAGAAACAATTAATTAAAAATTAAAATTAAAAAAAAAAAGCAGGCCGGGCGCGGTGGCTCAGGCCTGTAATCCCAGCACTTTGGGAGGCCAAGACGGGCGGATCACGAGGTCAGGAGATCGAGACTATCCTGGCTAACACGGTGAAACCCTGTCTCTACTAAAAAAAAAAAAAATACAAAAAACTAGCCAGGCGAGGTGGCGGGCGCCTGTAGTCCCAGCTACTCCGGAGGCTGAGGCAGGAGAATGGCGTGGACCCGGGATGCAGTGAGTTGAGATCCGGCCACTGCACTCCAGCCTGGGCGACAGAGCGAGACTCCGTCTCAAAAAAAAAAAAAAAAAAAAAAAAAAAAGGCAGACACTGAAGTCTCTGCAATGGCAAAGTTCCAGACATGTGCCAGGTGGATGGGGACACATCTGAGGATATAGGGATTGCCTGACATTCCTCACATCATCCTAGGCTGGTGTGTGTCCCGATTGGCTTCACCTCACCTTTGTCACTGTTTGCTAAGCCCTAAGCAGATCTCTGCTGTATTTCCTCCTGGAGAGTCTTGTTTGGCTGTGATAGGTGATTCTGCTCTATGCTGTTTCCCAAGCCTTCTGGGATGTAGGGCTCCCCACCCAGTGCTGAGGACCAAGGGAAAAGCCTGGTGCTTGAAGAGTCAGTCAGCGGTTCCAAAACTCCCAGACAATGACTGCAGGGGAAGACAAAAAGTATTTCTCAGGAGCTGAGGAAAACAGGAAAATTAGAGGTCCCATAATCCCACCTCTGCCCAGTACACATATCCTTTCCACAGCCCCTCACCAAATGGCTGGCCAGTTTCCACTTGAATGTCTCCAGAGACGGGGAGCTCAGTTGGAAAGGACGGAGGTTATAGATATTGTGTGTTTCTTCTTTGTGTTATGTAAATTCAAGTTTTCCAAAGTGAAACCATTCATTCCACAACTGTTGATGGAGCACCTACTAGGTGCCAGGCACTGTCTAGCCATTGGAGATACAGCAGTGAGAAAAACACAGAAATCCCTGCCCACCACATAGGCCTGATGTTCCCATGGGGGAAGAAAGGCAATAAATAAGTGACAGTACTGAGGATGTCCCATGGCAAAAAGTGCTATGGAGAGAAATGACACAAGGATGGGGGACGGGGAGTGCTATGTTTGCATTTCAGCATCCTGCAGTCAGCAAAAGTGATAGTCGAGAAAAGTCCCAAAAGAGATGAGGGAGCTAGGAGAAGCAGGTGTCATGGAAGAGAGGTCCAGGCAGAGGGATGGCCAGTGCAAAAGTGTGGTAGGAGGGAGGGGGAAACAGCAGGAAGGCCAGTGTGGCTGAGCTGGATGTGCCAGGTGGTGGACCGTGTGAATGTATAAGGAAGGCCGATGGAGCTTACATAGAAATGTCTTTCATAACACAAGGAACTAGATTTTGCCTGGGCACAGTGGCTCATGCCTGTAATCCCAGCATTCTGGGAGGCTGAGGCAGGCAGATCACTAGGTCAGGAGTTTGAGACTAGCCTGGCCACCATGGTGAAACCCCGACTCTACTAAAAATACAAAAATTAGCTGGGCATGGTGGCACTTGCCTGTAATCCCAGCTATTCGGGAGACTGAGGCAGAAGAATCGCTTGAACCCAGGAGACAGAGCTGAAGTGGGCTATCATGCCACTGCGCTCCAGCCTGGATGACAGAGTGAGACTCCATCTTGAAAAAAACAAAACAAAACAAAAAACAAATTATCCAGGCTTCGTGGCAGGCACCTGTAATCCCAGCTACTCGGGAGGTTGAGGCAGGAGGATTGCTTAAACCTGGGAGGTGGAGGATGCAGTCAGCTGAGATTGTGCCACTGCACTCCAGCCTGGGCAACAGAGTGAAACTCCAAAAAAGAAAGACAGAAATGTCTTTCATAATGTAAGAAACTATATATATATTTTTTTTAATAGGGAAGGGTTGAATTCTAGTAGAAGCTGAAACCCAGATAAAAAGATTGCGAATACCCAAATCCAATCATGGGGAGTCAAGTGAAGGCTATCCTGGGAGCCGCATGACCGGAGCACACAGCTGGAGTTCTAACAGTTCCCGGCACCTGGAGCCAAAGGGACAGGGGAACTAGGTTTTCACAATCAATTGTATTGATCTAGGAAAACTGAAACCAAATCACTATGTGGGGCAAGAGGCTTATCGGAAAGTGCTGGGCTGTCTGGTCCTAGTGGGGAGGGGGAAGGGTGTTTGTGTTCTTGGGCCTGGATCTGAGGAAGTGGGTGCAGAGATGCAATGGTGCCACCCTTGGCTGCTGGCTTGGGTGTGTGCGTACCTTCTCTGGGGACCCTTACCAAGACAGGGGCTTTGGCAGGCCTGGAAGTACCTGGGCATTGGAGAGGGTTTGGGCATTTGTTATGTAAATGCCTTAGTGTGAGTCAGTCCCCAAGAGCCTGGTTGGCCTCAGCTGCCCTGATCCTTGAGGGCCAAACTCCCACCCTGGAGCTGTTGTTAAGGAGGGTGGCAGCCAGGTCCCCACAGGACACTCCGGTCATTGTTTTGGGACTGGTACACTTACCACATGTGTTGCCCCAGCAGTGTGGGAAGCTCAGACCTGCTCTGTGACTTGGAAACTAAGCTTGGGCTGAGCCTCTGACTCCAGGCCTGCCTGGCCACCCTATCTCACCCTTCTCATTAAACAAAGTCGGAGCCACAGATTCCAGCTCTAACAGGGATTAAAGACAGGCCTAGGACAGGGAAAGAACAAATGGCAGTGACAGGAGAGGAAGTGGGAGATGAAGTAAGACAGGGCAGGACGGGAGGAGGATGAAAGGCCAGAGAGAGATACCGGCCACAAGTCTGCGCTTTCATCTTTTCTTTTCTTTTCTTTTTTTTTTTTTTTGAGATGGAGTCTCACTTTGTTGCCCAGACTGGAGTGCAGTGGCTCAATCTCAGCTCACTGCAACCTTTGCCTCCTAGGTTCAAGTGATTCCCCTGCCTCAGCCTCCCGAGTAGCTGGGATCACAGGCACACGCCATCATGCCAGGCTAATTTTTGTATTTAATAGAGATGGGGTTTTGCCATGTTGGCCAGGCTGGTCTCGAACTCCTGACCTCAGGTGATCCACCTGCCTCAGCCTCCCGAAGTGCTAGGATTACAGGTGTGAGCCACCACGCCCGGCATGTGCTTTCATCTTTTTAAAACAATTTTTTATAGAGGAGTTGTCATGCTTTGTTGCCTGGGCTGGTTTTGAACTCCTGACCTCAAGTGATCCTTCTGCTTCAGCCTTCCAAAGCACAGGGATTACAGGCAGAAGCCACCATGCCTGGCCCTGTGCTTTCATCTTGAACACTGCCCAGCTCCAGCCTAGGGTGGTCAGCCAGGGACACCGCAGGAACATATGGAACTCTTAGTCCTTCATCAAGACCTGACAGAGTGGCATTGTTACAGTCATGGACATAGATCATTATCTTCCAAATGGTATCTTTGGTGTGTGTGTATTTATTCACTTTGATATTGGGTGAGAGGAATCAGGGTCACGAGGCCAGGTGTGGTGCAATTTCTCCCAGGACTTCAGGGAGAGGGGTCCTTGGGAGTCCAGGTCTCAGCAGGGACTGTGACCACCACACTCCCTTTCCACTCTCTGCCCCAGGCTCCACATACCTTCCTTGCCCAGCCCAGCAGACCTGGCCAAGGAGAGCAATTATGGCCAGGAACCGATGGCAAAAAGTTTAGTAAGGTCCATGCTCCCATCACAAACCCTTACTGGTCCCTGGGGTCAGACAGACCTGGGTTCAAATGCTGCCTCTACCACTTCCTATACATGTGACCTTGAGCAAGTTATTTAATACCGCTAAGACTAAATGTTCTTTTCTATGAAATGGGTAGTGCTTACTTCATTACAGAGCTGCTGGGAGAATTAAATAAAACCTTGCATGTAAAACATTTAGCATGATGCCAGCACATAGCAAGTTGGCCATTACGATTATTTTTATTAGCATCACCATTGGCTTGACCACCTTACAATTTATTGTTGACACAGGATTTCACTGCTCAAGTTTGCATTTGTGTTTATGATTTTGTTGGCATCGAGCAGTCCTTTTTAATTGCTGCTGGCTAACAAGAAAAGAATAGAGGCGGATTTAATGCATAAATGATGCGTTGAAGCCAAGTGAAGGCCAAATGATGTAACAGCCCACTGTGCAAACAAAAATATTGCAGTAATTCAAGTAGAGAAAAGTTGGGGAGAACTGAGTCATTCCCCAGTGCATGGTAGCATGCATATACATGTCAAGCTCAAAAGCAGATCCGCTCTGAGTGGTCAGTCCTATATCGCTAAAAGTAGCAATGTGGTTTCAGGCAAACATTATCCTTCTCATTAAACAGATCTTGTTACTTTAAATTTTACTGGGTTTGTAGTTTTGTCTATATTTACTAGGTACATTTCTCCAATGTACACGTACTGCTAAGTGAAAAAAAATTGTAATATGCTGCCTTTTGATTAAAAAGGGGAGAATAGGCCGGCCATGGTGGCTCATGCCTGTAATCCCAGCACTTTGGGAGGCCAAGGTGGGGGGGATCACGAGGTCAGGAAATCAAGACCATCGTGGCTAACACCATGAAACCCTGTCTTTACTGAAAATACAAAAAATTAGTTGGGTGTGGTCGCACGCACCTGTAGTCCCGGCTATTTGGGAGGCTGAAGCAAGAGAATTGCTTGAACCCGGGAGGCAAAGGTTGCAGTGAGCCGAGATTGTGCCACTGCACTCCAGCCTGGGTGATAGAGCGAGACTCCATCTCAAAAAAATAATAATAAAATAAAATAATGGGGGAGTATAGGCTGGGCACAGTGGCTCACGCCTGTAATCCCAGCACTTTGGGAGGCTGAAGCAGGTGGATGGCCTGAGGTCAGGAGTTTGAGACCAGTCTGGCCAACATGGTGAAACCCTGTCTCTACTAAAAATACAAAAATTAGCTGAGCTTGGTGGTGCACGTTTGTAATCCTAGCTACTCAGGAGGCTGAGGCAGAAAGATAGCTTGAACCCAGGAGGTGAAGGTTGCAGTGAGCTGAGATCACGTCACTGCACTCCAGGCCAGGTGACAGAGTGAGACTCCGTCTCAAAATAAATAAAATAAAAATAAAAATAAAATAAAATAAAATAAAATAAAATAAAATAAAATAGGCCGGGCGCGGTGGCTCAAGCCTGTAATCCCAGCACTTTGGGAGGCCGGGAGCGGGCCGCGTCACGAGATCAGGAGATCGAGACCATCCTGGCTAACACGTTGAAACCCCGTCTCTACTAAAAATACAAAAACTAGCCGGGCGAGGTGGCGGGCGCCTGTAGTCCCAGCCTGCTGGAGTCTCGAAGAGGCAGGAGAATGGCGTGAACCCGGGAGGCGGAGCTTGCAGTGAGCTGAGATCCGGCCTGCACTCCCAGCCCTATAGGTGACAGAGCGAAACTCCGCTCAAAAAAAAAATAAAAATAAAAATAAATAAAATAAAATAAAATAAAATAAAGAATATAAAAATATAGATAACTCTATATGCTTTGTATATGTATGTGTCTATATATTTTTTTCTTTTGGCAAAAAGAGACAACAGAGGATCAATCGATCCAATAAAAATTAGTACTTAGGTATGGAGAGAGGACTACACAGAAGGAATGAAGTGAAAGCTTAAGATTGTCTTATGTGTATTTTTCCATGTAGTTTGACCTTCAAG